CCAAACCCCAGCCATCCCTCAACCCCACCCGAAAAAACTCACCTGCAGGTGAGCACGGCCTTCTCGCCCTTCTTCATCGTCGCCACACCCAGGTCCCAGCCCTTGATGACGCTGCCGGTTCCCAGCGTGAACTTGAAGGGCTCCCCGCGGTCAACGGACGAGTCAAACTTTGACCCGTCGGACTCGAGGGTGCCGGTGTAGTGGACTGCGCGCGGAATCACAAAAAAAGTGTGCAGTTGGAGGCGGCATGACAAGGGCGAGCCAAAATGCTGGCAGAACTGGGCGCCACGGGCAGCGTGCACAGCATGCCGACAGGGCAAGGAATCCGGCGCGCGGGGACAGCGCTCGTCCTGGCTGCGTCAAACCAGACATGCAAGCACATGCGTGGGCGCGCACGCATGCGCATGCGCGCACGCATGCAAGCAAAGCCGCCATGCGGCGTACGCTGGGCCGCGGCTCGCGCCGGCTAGCCCAGCCGCGCCCACCTGTGACCTCATCCCCCTTCTCGGGCGTCTCCCAGCCGCTGCCCACCACCAGTATCTTCTTCTTCAGGCCCCCATCGGGCTGCACAGCCGACAACATGCACATGCACGCGTGGGTGTGAAAGCAAAGGTGGGTGTGGGGGCGGGGGTGGCGGGGGCCCCGAAGCCCCAAGGAAGCCTCCAGAAACAGTCCGGGCACCAGCCTGGGGCGCCGCCCAGTGGAGGGCCGCACGGCTGAGCGCGCGCTCCCGCGCTGCGACGCCGCTGTGGGCGTATGGTTTGTCAAAGATATTGCGGTGGGGCGGGCGGCCGCCGCCGGGATGCTGACAAGGCGACGTTCGCATTCCCAGTGTGCCGCGCTGGGTGCTGGCCTTGATAGTGGGTGCGCACCGTAATCTCCTTCACCTCCCCGACTTTGTCCTCGAACGACTCGTCGATGCCGGCGTCGTCGAACTGCGTCGCGTCTGCAGGGCAGGTTAGGGGATAGGCGCAGGGGCGACGGCGTTGGGCGAGCAGGGCCGCGCGGCGGGTCGCCGCCCCAGCCAGCGCTGCACGCCCCCTCGTTGCGGCGCGTGGCGGCATCCGCACGGCTCAAGGCAGGCGCTAAGGGATTGCGTGAGCTTCGTACAATGCCTTTCACCCCCGCGCGCAGCGCGGAGGCCAGATCCCAAGAAGCCTCTGGAGAATCCCGCGCACCCATGGCCGCGTCCAACTTAGAGTAGATGCAGGCGGATGAAGTAGTTATGTATCACGATCAAATATGGTGGGCGAGCGTGTGAGTGCGAATGAGTTAAGAAAGGCTGCAGAGATAGGACGATTTTCGGCACTGTGGTAACCCGTGCGCGTACATCAACCTCCCTACGATTGCCCCTCCATCACGACGTCTTTGTGTTCTTCAATATTCACATTTCACACATATGTGCTCGTGAAGACGAATCCTGATTTGCATGTAGTCTGGGCGCTCGTGAGGTCGCTTGCCATGGCCAGCACGGGAATAGTGCTGGTCCTGGTGGCCCACAATGGAAAGACGCTGCAGCTGGACGTCGCTGCGCAGACGAGGTGGGAAACGAGAACGGGTCGTCCCATGCTGCTTTGTGGACCTGCTTTGTGGCCCTACCAGCGGGCCCGTGGATACGCAGCACCCCATCACGCGCCTATATGACGCGTTGCGCGTGCCCGACGATGACCACATGACCATGCCACGCGTGACCATCCTCACTGTACCCGTGGCAGGGTGGACGCGGTCCAGCAGGCGCTGGTGTCGTTCACGGGCGTCGCGGTCGGGGACCAGATCCTGATGTGCCACGGAGCCCGGCTGGACCCCGCAAAGCCGCTGTCGGCGTACAAGCTGCCCGTGGTGCGCGCACACCCGCGCGCTGCTCTCGCGCGCGCATCGGGCGCGTCCCGTACGCGCCCAAATACACAATTGCAAGGGATGCATCCTTGCATACAATCACACCAAATCCTTGCAGCCCTCCCCGTGGGCCAGGCAGCGGCCTGCACGGGGCCCGGCCGGGCCAAGGCCGCGGGTCGGCGATTACGGGAACAGCCTGAGTAAACAGCCTACGGTCGAGCCAAGCTCGCACCTAATGCACGCAGCGGCGCGTTAGGCTCGGCGCACGCCAGCAGCGCCCCGCCCATAGCGCCGTGGGCGCCCCATCCCCGCCCGAGACCCTCATCTCGTCGGCGCGCGGCGCCCGCTTTCTCGCCTCGACCCATTACATGCAGCTTGACCCGGCTGCGGCGGAGGACCAGCCCGTCTTCCTGTATCACAAGGCGTTCCTTCGGCCGGGCGCCAAGCCGCCCCCGCCGGAGCCCGTCCCCCAGATCGCCGTGCAAGGTGGGCGCGCGGGTGGCAGCTGCCCGGCGCAGCTGCCGCGCAGCCGCGGCTTGCAGATGCGCGGGGGGCGGTGGCCCGATGGCGGCGCGGCTTCGCTGTATGTGACATGCCATTTTGATGCAACAAGACAAGCTTCAAAAATACTACATACAAAGCACCCAGACACTCGCCACTACTTTCCAATTGAAGCTCACGTATTCACATGCAAACCCATACATGCTCACTCGTATACACACATCGCCATGCTCACGTGCCCACCCATACACACACACACACACACACATAGTCACACACACACATGCACTTCTACCCCGCCTCCGCAGTGCCCCAGCTCGCCCCTGTGACGCTGCGCCACCCCCTGGAGGCGGCGCACAGCCCCCTGGTGCGGGCCCTGCCCGAATACGAACGCCAGTTCGAACAGCAGCTGGTGGAGGCGCGGGCCTACTGGGAGACGAGCAGGCAGCGCATGCACTGGTGCGCGCGCGGGCGCCGGGGTGCGGGTTTGCGGGGGCGTGGGGCGCGGGGCGCGGGGCGGCAGGGTGTGAAAAGGGAGGGTGGCACGCCACCGCGCGTGTCCTGGGCGGGTGACCTGTGATGTTGGCATGTGGGCGGCGCGCCTCTGCGGCGGTGGGCGGCGGGCGCCGGCTCAGCCTGCAGCATGCGGAGCTTCGTGGGGGCTTTGCATGCGTGGGGAGGGCGCCGCCTCGGGTGTTGGGGGGGCG